ATCGTTAGAAGTTTGTCACCAGTGTTCTAGCGTCTGATCTCAGCACTGGATGATGAACACGTAATGAAATTCTATATGCTGTTAGTACTTCGACATACTGGAGTCGTTACACACTTTTGTCACAAGATTTCCGTCTATATAAATTTTTATAATCTTGCTAATCTCAACTCTGCAAGTATGTCACATTGAAGAATATTTGATCGTAATTTAATTTGAAATCGTTAATCAAAAGTTATGCTTTCCTATCTAATTCTTCTAATTATGTTTAGCGTCTTACTGAATTTCATTATTAAGCTTACTGAAAATAATATCAAATTATGTAATTAAAGGCCCAATTATTCGACTCTCGTGTTTGCGTAATATGATAATTTTCTCGGAATCAAAAATATATTATTAATTTTAACTTATTGAATAGAGAAGAATACTATAACGGCCTCGTGATATATCATCTATTAAAAAAAAATGTATAGTTATATTTTTACTGTAAATTTTTCCTGCGTACTCCTACAAACTTTGATAATACTATTGGACAAAATTTGTACCATTATAATTAATAACTATTACTTCATAAATAATAAAGATATCACAATTAATAAACCCAAATTTATTATCTTATTTCAATAATTCGAGTAAAGAGTTTAAAGGATTTAAATCATGAGTAATTAATTTTAACATGCAAATTAATTTGTTTCATTAAGAAAATTTTTCAGTATAGCACTGTGAATGCGAAATTGTGAAATAATTGTTTAAATAATTGTTTCAAATATAATAATTGTATTTTCGTGTGTGTGCTCATTAAATAAAAACTACTTTTAAAAGTTTTCATGGCGTGTATTTTATAAAAACATTATTGCCCTTTTCAGTCGTTTCAGGTATTAGGTATAGGTTCTGTGTTCAGCAGAGCGATTCCGTAAATTCGGAACACGAATTCGGATTCATCCAGGTGTCAGAATTTACATCGAAAGTAAATGCCTTTTACATTACAATAGAGAAAAGTTATGATTTAGCTTTTTGTTCGGTTAGATTACTTTTAACGAGAAAACACCTCAATCTATAAAATCACACGAAGCAGTGTTGATAACAGGCGTAAAGCGGAAGTCCTTGTCTATTTAATTAGTCCGGTAATGAGTTAGACAAGGACAGATGAGGAAGAATTGCGCGGTAAAAAATCTTTTAATTTATTACCCTCAAATTCTTAGGATTATCGTAAAAGTGCAGCATAATTCCCTTCGCTACTAAGTAACTTACAAATTTATCAAATTCTTTTATAATAAGGGTATAATGGCAACAATTGTTTAATGCGTTAATATAGTCTTACTACTTTACTATATACTTACTTTCGTTTCTTTCTTTTGGTTTAAGGAACCTTGCAAATTGTCCATCACAATTATTAGTCTGTAGTAATAAAAAACACAGCACATAACACACGCACAGGCGAAGCATCTCGCTATGATTCCCGATCAGACGAACCGGTTCTTCGCATCTGTCTTATATAGGAAGATTTCTTTCTTTTTTTTACTGATATTGGCGAGTTAACCAGTTCGAACAGCCTTTGCGAAATATCTCTTTTTAATTTTTACTACAGTTATTATTGAGTCACGATTTTATTGTATGATTTAGATTATAGCTTTTTTTTCTGATATAAAAGGTGAAGTACAGTGACCTCCGTAATCGAGTAAATATCAATGCTAGGGTCTCAGTCGAGGCAATATTTAAGGGCTTCTCATATGTAACAGAGTCGAAGGAGACGGACGAAACGAATTTTTAAATAAAGATTCGAATTTTCTATTCATCTTGCAAATTAACATTAGAATTGTGACGACTGGGCGCATAAATGTGGGCTTTATCATAAGTTTTTAAACAAAGAATAATAAAATTCCTTTCTTTAGCCTCCTTCGGCACGTTCCATGATGATTTGCGTTTTCCTTAAAAAATACTTTTCTATGCCATCTTGGGTCTGGGTGGTGTGGTACCTTTTTTGTTAATGCTGAGGAAATGCACCTTCAGGCCAATCCTACATTGAAGGCTCCGGATTCAATATACCACGGGTGTTGTGGTACCTGCGTTGTTAAAGGATCTACGGCTTGTCAGAGACTTCAGAGTATCGTCAGCAAAGAAATCATATATTAAAATCAATATAATATATATGAATATTGTTTCAATATTTGAGGAGTTTTGTAATCAGTTACAAAAATATAAACACTAACCTATGTGATAGTAAAACACCTACAATAAAAGATTATGAACGCAAAGTTGATCAAATATTATGAAATGTTAGTTCGACCAGTTCGAAAACCATAATCTTATTTGAATTCGATAATGTGATTTAAATTATATTCCATACTATAAATAAAAGGTCTTATACTGACTACAATACAATACTCAAAAATTTTAGCCTATTTTTTTATTTTTATTTATATCACTTGACTCGTATATCATTTCAAATGGATACCGGTCATGATAAAACTTTATTTATAGAGTAACAACACCGTAAAGATATATAAAGGTCTGTTGGTTTAGGATACAACGGCTTTTTAAAGTTATTTTACCGATCGCTTAGAGTTTCTTGAATGTTTGTTTAACGACGGAAAGGGTTTCTGTATTACCTTTAGATGACTCTAATTCATGAGTGTGCTTACACTAACAGCACAATATTGATTTATGTTAGTAATTTTAACGTTAGCTTTCACATGGTTACTAAGAGGGATTTTTTTTTATTACTCCTGGTAAAAAAATGAAACTTATGTAGTATTTATTTAGTCCGTCCATCAGATAATAGAAAATATTAGATACGTATTTATTTCTTCATTTTAGAAGAGACAGCTTGGATAATATGCAGGAGGAGGAGCAGAGGAGGGGGCTCGCGTCGTCACAACTATGTTGAAAATTTACAATGGTGTTTTAACTCGACGAATCTTTGTAATTTATTGATAACACAAAAAAAGTGTAGCTCCGTGGTATAGTGGATAAGCGCCGTGGCACGCGATCGTTGTCGCGGTCGTCGTTTAGCAACTTTCTCAAGGTTGGTCACGGGATGGGTGACCAAAAAATTATTATATCGAACTACTCCGTGCTTCGGAAGGAACGTTAAGCCGTTGGTACCGGCTGCATTTGTAGTTGTTAGTACCCGCCAATCCGCATTGGGCCAGCGTGGAGGTTCTTGGCCTGTGCTCGTAACCCATCCATAAGGAAGGCCTGGAGCTCCTGTAGTGGGGACGAAATAAAGGGCTGATAATGATGACAAAAAAAAATGTTTAATATTAATTTTATTTGATCAAAAATAATGGAAAACCTGGAGCTGTTGGATTTAATTATGAATTTTTCATTAATAATGTTTAATATTATTTATCTGATGGATAGACAAAAAAAAATTGTCGCCATGCTTATTTTACAATTTCCGTTACGTGGAAGATGGTGCAACTTTCCTTCTTCAACTTAAGTCTACTCAACTTTATGTCATCTTATACGTACAAAATAGGCTCTATTTAAAATGAACGAAATTAGGATATTTAAAAAAATGAGATATTCATTATAATGTAGGTAATTATTATGTCGATGATCATACTCGATACGCATGTAGGTCTCACTCACTCTTAAATTATGACAGATAGTGGCCCTATAGGGCTCAGGTGCCCATTTAAATATCCTTTAAGTCTAAAGTAAAAAGTGAATTAACCCATTACACGTTTTATTATTTTCTGTTTGCACAGGACACCAGGTCCCCACCTCTCAGCGGTAATTGCAATTGACGACATAAAGTTCAAAAATAAACATAAAAAAAAATTACAGACCAATAAAGAAATGCAGTTAAGAGGGCGCGTAAGCTATAGGTCAACCAACTTGATTGGTTTGAACAAACACACAACTCCTAAACAAGCTGCTATAAAAAGTGGGCAAAGTGCATTACATATGTTTGATTATTAGCTGGTTACAATATAATGTATGTGAGGGTGTATGGAAGTAAGCATGTTGTTACTATTTCACGCAATAACTAGAGAAAGGACTTTGATGATATCCGGTATATGATCAATTCTAAGCCTGAATTATAAAACATGATGTCTTTCTTTTTAAAAATAATAAAAAGACACTGCCCTTTATGCATTAGAGATCTTTCTTGATACCTTTATTAGATACTAAATTTCATAAGAATGTAAAGTCAATTACATCTGTATCAGTAATGAACTTTAATCATATTAATTGACACTAAAAATAAAAGTTAAATTCTTTAGTAGTGTGTTTTTCAAAAGTTGTTAAATAATATAAAACTGCTTCATGTTTTCATTATTGGGTGGCTCCACCAAGATCCGCAAACCGACGTCGCTATGTCGTCAGGAAAGTCCCAGACCAATTTAGTTGTTCTTTATTGTGTCGTGGGTTTATAGTTCTCCAACATATGAGATTACTCATTGCTATATATGTGACACGTATGACTTGCTTTAGAGTATATATATTTTTGTATTATTACATATACGAATATGAATAATAGCAATTGAAAATAACAGGATGTCATAAATCTCAGAAAATATATATTTTTTAATCTATACTATTTCAGGACAGGTTACGTGCTACAGTAACTTTAAAAATGTATTCTTTTCTCTTTGTGAAAATAAAGAATTATTATTATTATTAATTTCAGACCAATTTCAGTTTTCCCTACTGTGGTGATGGAGATAACTGGCCAGGGAGACTAAAGGATAATTGTCTCCCTCCGAGCTAGGTGTTGTTAGCCCGGGGACCGCGGTCCAACCGATGTAGGTTGGACGTTCTATTTATGCTAATTGGTAATGAAAGATATTGTGGGCGATGTAGGTTTGTTTGTTCTAAATGCCTTGTAGTTATTAATTTATGCTGTTTGTATCGGTACAGCGCCATCTCGTTACTTGCTGTTGAAACTTATTGCAGTTCGTCTTGCTGTCGATGGCTGTGACAATGCTAGTCTTCTCGCTATCGATTGTTGTGGCGATGTTAGTGCGATGAGTTAGATGTCGCTATGTATCAGTCGCCACACCTTAATGTTAACGGAAGACAACCACAATACAGCGGAAACTGCATTTAAATCGGTTCAGCCGTTTCTGAGATGAGCGTGCACAAACGCACAGATAACAAACAAAAATTTTTAAATAATTGTTTTGTGTTCTACTTTATACTAGCCCTTCATAATAGTTTTTCATACATATTCAATGTACAGACATCGATCAGTTAACATATTCATTATAGATTAAAAAAGCACTGAAAATTATTAAATTCTATAATTATAATCATAATTTATAAAAGATCTTTGAAGAATGCTGTTTTAGGTAGTATTCTAGCAGCAGCTCGTAGGTTTGATATAACGATTTTGTAAGCTTCTGCAATGATCGTGCACATAGCTCTCTTTCTTACTTCCGTGGCTCTCTTTTCATAATCAGCTTTTCGCGCTACTGCGTCTGGATCTGTAATTTAAAAAAGTTATATTTCTGAAATTTTTGTTATTGAGAAGTTCGATGGTGCAGTGTTTGAATGCGATAACTTTCGCAATGGCCGGTCATAGGATGGGTCATCAAAAATTTATTATCTTGAGCTTCCCATACTTCCGCACGTTTTAGCCGTTGCTCCCGGCTTCATATACAGTCGTTAATACCGAGCAATCTGCACTGGGCTAGCGTGATGGATCATGGCCTATTATCCCTATTAGATACGATTCCATCCATTGGGAAAGGAAGAATTTCAGAAATTACCAGCCTATCACTGTCCCCAGAAGTAGGGATATAAAAAGGCTGATGATTTCTGAAATTCGTCACCGGTTTAATTTAAATTACAATTTCATGGATAAAAGATAAATTATCTTGTAATTTTAAATTAGTCATGGATTAAACAAAAAATATACCGCAACAAAAGACTATTTTTCTTTCATGCCTAAACCATTTCAGGGGTTCACTTTTAAATCTTCATGTTATGTGTCGTAAACACAATGAGCTTTAGCTAAAGAATTTAAATAGAAATTTTTGAAATTCAAATTTATGGTAAAGCATATACTCTGTTCTGGATATCTTTGTGCGTATTTTGCCAGTAAATATAAGCTGTAATTGAAATTCTTTTGTTTATTTATGATTCCATTTGTCTATACCAGTGTTTTAAATACTTTTTGAATACACAACTCCTTTATAATGACTTATTTATAAGACTAAATTTATAACTACTTATTTCAAAAATAGCACCACGATTTGGTATTTTATTTTAAAATCGACTTTTCACAATTATTATATTCTACTGTAGTAAAATGTTGAGTTTTTCCTTTTGTCGATGACCCCCTTAGTAAGCCCCCAGGACCCTCATAGGGGTAGCGACCCATTGATTGAAAATTATTGTAGAGAACTAATATTATAGGGAGGAAAGATTTGACTGTTTGCTTACATCGCATAGGCTCCAAAACTACTGGGCCGATTTTGATAATTCTTTCACCTACGAGAAGTTTTCATACGCAGGTAACATCGGCTATAATTTATATACTTACAGGCATATTTTAAGTCCAACACACATGTAAATTACACAAAATTACTGTAAAATTAAAACTAGAATCGATAATATGTCAAACGTTATTTAGTATTAAATTATAACATAAAATTGTAAGCATAATTAGTTTAAAATCCGATGCCTTAGATTATAACCTAAAGGATCCAATTACAAACAATCGTTAATTTTTATTATTCTAAGTTCTGTCTGTATTAGTACTTTGTAAAATACCTTCTATGTCCAACATTGCAGATTCTCTAATAATTAGCAATATTCTACTACTATGTTTTTTTTTATTAACTGTGGACCGTTAAATAACAGAATTGAATTTAAAAGATGACAATTGCAGCTTGCTAATATGAATTTTATTCAATTTTGTTTAAACGACTCAAAAATGATATTATTCAGAATTATGGTCGAATATTGACAATTATAGTAACTAGCACTACCTGAGAGGCGTGTCAAAACCAAGATATATTGTGATTAATTGTTTTTGCTTGCCCTTCTGATAAATATCTATATATGGTAATATTACAAAAAAAAAAATCGATTAACTCATTCAAATGTGATATATGATTATTTACTCATTATCTTCAGATTAGGTAGAAAATTAATTTGACTACCCCTATAACTAATTACAAGACAGAGACAATAAATACTGTTTGAGGCAAGATTGTTTAATTAGTTACCAAATGTAGACTCAATATTTTAAAAAAATTGCAATATATACAAGTTTGTACTGTAGAGTTATTCAAGCGTAATATATTTTCTTTTATATACTGTACTCCCTTTTTTTAAGTAAAATGTAAATTTTTCATGAAAGTCAGATGTAAATAAGTGATTTAAATCTAATTACTGAATCGCGTAAAATCTGTATTAGGATATTCCTTATATCCAAGTCTTAAAATGAGCTACAATAAAGACATTTTATCACTTAAAATTGATAAAGTGGTCATTGTCACGTCTGTTTTTAGAGTCGTTTTGCTAGCTGGGTTAACCTAATGAAAGAGTTTGAAAATCTATATCAGTCACTTCTAAATAAATAAATCGGGATTTTTATTTTCTTAGAATATTTACTCGTGCCTAAATTGTCTACCAAATACATACATAAGTACGTTGAGTCATAGTAAATATTACGTTAATAGTAATAGAATATCGTTTAAAGTGTTTTTTTAATGCGAGAAGACGAAGGAGTTTTCACTTCTGTAATTTTAAACATTCTATACTCACCTTTTGCAATTATATCAGCAAACTGCGAATCAATACTGACTTCAGGAGTCCCTGTGATTTCGCAACTGATAGTGTCGGGACCGACTTCGTAATATTCAACTCCTTCTTTGTTAGGTTTCAAATCGTATGAGTACATCGTAGTAGCAAGAGTGGCTGTAAAAGCATAGTAAAATTAGTAACATGACACTACAAACATTGCTCTGTTAAATTCCACAGAAATACTAAAGTTATTTTAGTTTTTCCACTTATTTCCCAAGTAAGTTTTATTTTCGCTTTTAGGGCTATAATTATTCATTAAAAAAAGTATTGCTTATATTGTGTGAAACGTCTTCGATTACACAGTCTGATAACCAGCATATCATATTATTCTGATGATATGATATGCAGGTTATACTTCTGTGATTGATACACCTTAATAGCAATTTACCCATTATTCATTCAATGAATGGTTTAATATCTAATTGTGGCTTCGCTTAAATTGCTACTAGCCTCTAATAATAGCTTAATAATGGTATTTCGATGGCGTTTTTAATTTATTGCATTATTCCAACGAACAGCAATTATTATCTACCCACAGTTCAATAATGTTATTACCTTGATTTTTATAATTTATGTGTTGTCGGTATAATTAATTATCAGAATAATAAGTGCACGTACAAAATACATGATAATTAAATAATATTAGGTCCTTACATATGAAATTGGTCTTTGGTAAGGGAGGAACAAAAAGTCGAATATTTTTTAATATAATATATTGATTTAATTAAAGTATAAACCATTGTTATCTTTGCACTTTTGCCATCTCATAGGTAGTTCATTGATCACCTTACTAAAAAAACCATTCGGACGGGAATCAATAAAATTTTGAAGGCGATTTGCACTGCCTCATCAGAGTAGATTTTTTTCCCTTGCAAGAAGTTATCCAAAATTTCGAAAAAAAAATGGTAATCTGCTGAAGCAAAGGGCCGGGGAGTACGGTGGATGTATTAAACATTCCAATTGAAGCTCTTCTTATTTGGTAGCCGTTTGTTGTGCAGTGTGTGGTCTAGCATTGTCGTGAAGTAGCAGTGGCGTAGAGCGATTGACCAACCCCGATTGTTTAACCTTTAACTATGGACGTTACATTTTTGTTACACTACTATGGACGTGCGGCCTCACAGACCGCTATCTTTATGGGCTGATTTCTATCTTATTGAGTGTAATTATTGTATAGTTTTTTGTTTTTACCCTTAGAGGAGTTATAACGTGTAAATAAAAGATGCAATTTTAATGAAAAATTAATTTATTTTAAACTTAATCTAACAATAGAACAATCAAAGGCACTTTTCAGACTTATGAGCTTGAGATCATTTTGTAGGTAAATTATCACAAGAAAATGACATTGTTCGTTAGTTTAACTTCTTTTAGAATTAAATATAAAAAACTAAGAACATAAAAAACTAAACACAATCTTCTCAACACTAAACATAAAATTTCAACAAGGGCCCAACTTGGTCATATTTATTGGCATTCTATGCATAGGTATATTGTCGTTATCTAAACTTTCACTATCCGATCTTCTTACATCGTCGTCAAATGTGGTACTACTACCACTTTCTTCAACCTCTGATTCACTCGAATGACTTGCTTCAATGTAAGCTACATAAAACAAACAATTATAAACATCCCTATCGCTGTCGCACTGATCCGATTCTAAAATTAATCGTTGAAACTCGTTTTCAAAAGAAGGCTCATCCAAACGCAATATTTTACTGGCTCTCTGAGTCAACGAACTCGATGTTTGTTTGCCTGAAGTCAGGATGACCGTTTTGCAATATTTTAGTTTACAAAATCTAAAAGAAACAAAATCACCATCGCCTGTAATATATAGCATAAATGTGGACGCGCGGTCTCACAGACCGCACTCAAAATATAAAACGAAATTTCCACGCTCAACAGTCGTTTCGCCACAAAAACCGAAGCTACTGAGCCCGGCACACGCGTGGGATACGCAGAAGAAGGGGGGCACGAGAATCACAAACTGCAAGAGGTCTGTGAGACCGCACGTCCATAGTTAAAGGTTAACAGCTAGTTTTTCAGGCATGGTTTGCAATTGCTGATAATAGACGCCAGCCGTAATCATCTGGTCAGATTTGAAAAAACTGTAATGAACGACACAGGCACTAGTCCACTAAACGCTTACAAGTAACTTTTTTGGGGTCAACTTTCGCTTGGGTCAGGATTTGGCTGCCATGCCAGAGTCCAACCATTGCGATGAGCGCTTCCTATTATCGTAGAGAATCCACTTTTCATCACAGGTAATGATTTGATTTAAAAACCCTTCATTATTGTGCCAGTTAAGTAATGTAACGCAGCAGTCGAAGCGCGTTTGCCGGTTTGCTTCACTCAATCCGTGAGGTACCCACCATTCAAGCTTTTTAATCTTTCCAATTTGCGTTAAGTGAATTAAAACAGTTTTATCACTAACACCGCAGCCTGCAGCTAACTCGGACGTGGTTTGGAACCGTTGGAACCAAATACGCACCGTGTTTTCTTTTGCGACACAACCGCCATACACATCATTAACCCTTCGGTCCACGGTGGAACTCGTACTCGTTAATAACACGATATTTCAAGTTTTCCATTTTTTATACTGGGTGACGTAAAAAGGACAAACAGAAGAAAAAAAACAAAATGAATGACGCCTTATACAGTCATGACTGTGTAAATTGGATTTTGGAATTCCCAACCAAGGAAGAGAAATTTGTGATTAAAGTGGCCAGTACGACAAAACGCCAATTTCATATGTAAGGACCTAATAATAACATGCCATGATTCCTTGATTGCACATAAACGTTATTAGAACTAGGTCTGAAGTTATTTTTTTTTATAGATTTTGTCTGTAGGTGCAACTACCAGCCGATTAAAATCGATTGTTGGAAGATATGAAATATTGTGTATCTTATTGTTTAGCAAAAAACTAATCGAAAATTTTCATTTTGTAAACATAATTAAGTGAATTTCACTTGCTATTCATAACATAGTAAAAAAGTCGCTCCTTGCTGTTTGTTCTCTGAGATCTTTTAAACTACGAAACGGATTTTGAAACGGTTTTCATCGATATATAGAACAAATACAGAAGGAGGTTAATATATATAATAGAACCACGCCGGCGAAGTCGCCAGAGAAAGGTAGTAATACCTATTTACAATTTTTATATTATTTTTCTTCTAAATAACACATTTGAAAAAGTTTCAGTCCCTAAAATTTAGATTAGGTCAGAATTACGCCACAACCTAATTTCACCTATTAGAAGTATATTTTTTAAATGTATTTAAATTAAATTCAGTCAGTATTTTTACCAAATTAGTACTTTTCTATAAATAAATTGGTTCTAGATGAAAACAATAAAAACAGTTTCACGTTTGCAAATATTCGATAAAAGAATTAATATGGATGTTTGAATACAGGATGTATTTGATTATTTTCTGCTCAAAGATTTTTTATAAAATAACTAATTTATCTACCGTTATTTTGTAAATAGACACAGGAACTACTGCGTCAAATTATTTTTTATTGGAATTATAGTTAATTAATTAAAATATACATTTTCGAAATCACGTTTTTTAAATTGTTGTATATAAAGTAATACGTTTTCGTTTTAATATGTTTGGCAAATGATTTGATGTTTTGTAAAATGGTTGTTGTAATTTATTTATTGTCAAACGTCAGTGAAACTAATATCTGGTGACGTTGTGTACACTCTGCCTTCATGTACAATGAGGTTGTAATACAAACACGAATGTCTTACTGAAATCTACCCTAAATCAACCAAGTAGGTCCAATATAAACGCGTTATTACAAAACTTTGGTCGTATATGATTACTGAATGTTGTATAGGCAGTCTAGTTGATGTTTCAAGTTTTATCTCGTAAATATTTTTTGTACATAAACGTAATATTGCTATCGAATTGAAACCAACATTACGTTTGCCGGCAATATAGTGGAACTTTCACAAGCAAGTCGGTGTTTTTGATCTCGAAGCGACGGTTAATATAATAGGTTCGATTTATGATTGCATATATTAAGCAAGTTTCGACATGTGATTTTCCTTCATCGATCAATGCCGATTCTGGCTGCATCTGTAGTCATTAAAATTGACCCGATTGGGGAAAGGACCTTTTCCACCCACGAGAAAGGAACCTAAAAGGTCTCCTCCCATAAAGAAATAAGTGGCTTTCCCGGCGATTACGTTAGGCTCAGAATGCTAATATCAATCGAGGGCATGCCCAGTGTTTTTTGGGTGTAAGTCTTCCTTTTGACCTTCATTGAGTAGTGAGGGAGAGTTCCACATACCCTTGCCAGTAAGGAGGCATGGTAATACGTAAAGTATTTTTACTGGACCAAAAAATTATTTAACATCAACTATTGGGTTCACGTGTTGAATTGTGGACTCAAATGTGTAATTTTACATGCAAGAAATATGGTTTTGTTTACGTAACGATTACGTTACCATGTGCCACTCCCAATTGGATTAAATTAAATCAAATCATTTATTTGCAAATATAGGTAATACATAGAGATGATACACAATTAATATCATACTTATTCCATATGTCGCCACCTGGCATGCAAAATTGTCATTTAAATTATAATAAAAAAATGACAATTACAACAAACCATTAAAAATATGTCAATTGAAACATATAATGTTCATATGTCAATTGAAATATATAAAATAATTAAAAAAATACAACAAAATTTATTATTTAAATTTTTCATTTAAGAATTCGTCAGCACTATAATAAGCTTTATACAACAACAAACATTTTAATTTGGTGCGAAATGTACTTAAACTATTGATTTTTTATCGCATGAGGTATCTTATTGTAAATTCAATTTGCCATACATAGTACACTATTATTCATAAGCCATATCCTGTTTAAGGAACGCTCAAACTTGGGTGTGAAGTAAGTTTTTTTTTTTACTTGGTCTGTGATCCACTAAGAAGGTCCACTGGTTATTGATTGCGTAACGATTACGTTACGTGACCAAGATAAAAGCGATCAGAATCTATTCATTTTGTATACACACTCCAAAATGAATAAATTTCTCTGTTTAATATTTATGTTTAGTGTGTCGTAAAATATTTTGAAACTCACTTGCTTTTCCTTTGTAAGTTCCGGATAGGAACTTGGCAACATCTTTAAATTCAATTGTCAAATCCGCCGCTATATCAGCTTCGATTCTTGTCTGTAGAACTACGGATTTCGCATCTATATCCATCCTGAAGAAAAAAAATGAAAAAGTTAAATTCAATATATCAGAATTGAACAAAGAGTTTTTTTTATAAGTTTCCGTGAAATTAATATAATGGCACAAAAAAAAGTAGAAATTCATTCTGTTTTTATTTAAATGATACTGTCACGAAATGATGAATGTTGCTTATAAATATGCTGTTTTAAGTTAAATTATATGATGACCTATAGTTTATAATGTTTGATTTGCCTAGGAAAAAAACGTCTACAAAATCTAAAATCTTGGGGACCCAATAAACACATTTTATTAGCGCCATTCGTACCAATTATAAGAGACAAGATTTCAATTAGCAGATAGGTATATGTTAAAATATGATGTTGAAAAATTTTAATACACATTCTTTTGGAACGAGAACTAATATATAGGTATCTATAGAAATATAGATTATTTCGAAAATAATGCATCAAAATCAGTAGTTCCAAAAAGTCTAGCAAAAGCAAAGCCAAGCTTCGCAGTTATCATACAACGAATAGGCTCCGAAAATACTGGACCTTAAATACTAGAGTTTTAAAAAATTCTTTCACCTGCAGGAAGCTACATCATAAGTGGCAAACGTAGGCTTATATATAATCCTTTATATATTATATAAATAAGTTACCATAGCAACCATTATTTATTATTAAATTTAACGTGCGAAACCGCTGACAGAAAGCTAATATTTTTATAAAAAGCAGATCTTTAACATACTCCATCGACCGCACTGATTAGAGCAATGTAACCCCTTCTAATGGTAGAAACCGATAGAAAAGAGACTTATTAAAAGATCCAGGAAAGTATACACATACCGTATCGCACGCTATCTATTTGTACCAGTATACATTTATGCTCCCTTACAAATTTATGTATTTATTTGGCTCACAAAACAGTTTAGAGTAACATAATTTCAATAAATGTACACAATTAAGAAATAAACCATACCGTAACTTTTAAACAACTGAGCATAGTATGGACCTAATATGCTTACAATGTTACATCAAAACGTAATCACTTAATATTATACAAAAAAAAGCGAATAAAGAAATCAATAAAAGAAACAAACACATACTTCTAAGAGCACAGGATGTCTTGAACTTTGTGACGGGTTCGGTGCTTAGGTAAATGAAAGGCTGACTTAACTCGATAACTTGATATAATTTATAGTGTAAATAAAAAACCCTTCCTCGGATTGTTACATTTTCTTTTACTGATTTATAATACTTGAAAATAAGAGAACTACTAATAATAATTGTATTTTGATAAATCTTAACACTTTTTTTGTTTCAGAAACTGATACTACGTTTTCACTGGATGAATTTTCACGAGCATTAAAAGAAATAATATTTAAGATCATAGATAAAAAGTTAAAGTTTGGATGCGGGAACCTACGTATAAATATCTTATCTACTGTAATAGAAATGAAGGTACTCAATTCCTTAGAATTATTAATCATATTAATTCACAGAATATTGACTTTTCTTCATGTTAACTCTCATGCTTGTGTAAATAAGGAAAAACATCAAAGTAATTCGTACAAATGTCATCCGTCATATGGTATCGGCAGCAAACATTCGATACCGAGCTGAAATTGAAACTGAAACTGAAGACATATAAACAAGATTGCATCTCGTTTAGCTATTTAGAAAAATAGATGTAGCTATATTTTGGTGAGTAATTATTGCTGTGATGAGAGTGGTTCTACTAGATTTCTTATGTAGGTAATGAAAATCCAGGACGAGTTATATTATGATATTATTTCGAGAATAATTTGTTTACTTTGTCTATGATGTGATACTAGATATGTGCGTGTTCCTTTGGTTCTATTTTGAGTAAAATAATATTATTGAGTGTACTTAATCGAAATACTTGATTTAGATTAAGTATGCAGAACTGAAACGTGAAAACGGCTTCATGTGATATGACTGTGGAAGAACGGCCTGCTTTTAAACCGTAATTCCATATTTTTATTTTCATTATGACAATACTAAAGACAACTATTCATAACAACTATTCGTATGGAATTATACTTTTAAGTAATAGCGCAATATTGTGTAAAAGTTGCGTCAGTTCCTAAATTCCTTTCCATTGTTCTAGTATAAACTTAAAGAAGATGTATTTTTATACTATAAAAGAGTGAACCCAACCATGCTTTCTTGAAGCATTTTGAATTTTTCCCATAGGAATTTCGAGTTAAAAAATATCTTAGCTGGTGTATGTTACCGATATTCTTTAAAAAATATAAAATACAATTATAATTTTATTTTTATAAGCCACTGCCACCAGTCCAAGTTATAAGAAAACTCCCTTTGATCAGGGAAAATTTAAATTAAAGGGAGCTATCACTTTCTTGTTTCAAATTGTTTCGTCAGTTCTTCTCAAGCAGAACTCCAAAATTTAGAATTGTTGGTAGTTTATACAAGACAGAGGTAAATAAAAATAAATTAAATAAATGTCGGGTATAATGCGTAAAAGATTTCATGACGTTTCGGAACCTTTGCAACAATACAAAATAGTTTCATTTAATACTCATTAAAATCGTGAGCTCGTGAAAGTATAAGAAATCAGTAATTAATTAAATATTTTGTAATAATAATTCGTGTAAATTATTAAAAGACGCCCAATATTGGTCAAGTGAACACGAGACAATTAAAAATGAAATATTTTTTTAAAAATACACTCAATAAGAAACAAGTGAGTACTTATGTATATTTTCTTAGTAAGGACTAGATTTTTCCAAGACTTTTTCGATCTACACTTTAGTACTCATTTCAGAAGTTGCTATCTGATTTTATTTAAAAGAATGCCGAAAAATAATTAACAAAATTAATTGAAGAATGAATAAATAATATCGTTAAGGTCCCCTTGCTCACTTGTCCCGAAATTGGTTGTATGGGTCAAATAAAAGTTTTACCAATGAATATTATATGGATTATTATGATATTTATGAAACAAAAAACTTTACAATCATAATTTTATTTCGAAGAATTTTTAAATAGTAAATAACATTTTAAACAAAATAAAATTGTTTCGGGATCTATACTTAATTCTAGAAAATGATATATAAATAGCAAGTTTGTCATAATAAACTTTTGACTATTATTTCCTTTAGTTTTATTATTTATAGAAATGTGTCTTTGACAATACATAATGTCAATACATTTAAGCCGGAAAGCGTAGCTTTACTTTCACAATACGATACAGATTCCGAAGCTAATATTGCATACGAAGGCTGGGTATAGGTATAGGCAGAGAGAGCATGCAAGTTAAATAAACGCAGTCGAGATGCAATTTAAATTTGCCGAGTTCCTATAGAATATTCTAAGATCCTTCTGGAAGTATAATACTTATCTTTCTCAACTTAGACATTTGCGAAAGGTCTTTGTCCGCTTTATGTGTATCAATATGACCGTGACAGTGCCCGCCATTATCAATGAATTAATTATTATAATTAAAAGAAGAATCAGATCTACAATATATTTATCGACCTGCGTACTGACCTGTGTGGACATGTTTAAAATTAATAAAAATAAAAAGTATATTTGCAGATTATTATATTTGTTCGATTATGCATTCTCAATACTATACTAAGGGACAAAGTGGTTTTTTTAAGCATTTTTCGTTAAGTAAACCTTTAAACTTTCGCGTTGTATTATATTAGAGTGTATATGTATTTACGTATACGATTTTACGCGATAGATTTCGATAGTTATAGTTATATATACCTATATTTCTCGACGTTTCGACCAGGTTTTACACCAGCCGTGACCCGTGACATTTTACGTTAAGATTTTTTTTAGAATAGCATTTTTTTTCATTATATTTGTAATAATCTTTCTTTTAACTGTTTGGGTAGTTTGTCTGAACATTGATGAAAATACGCTCTATAGTAGCGAATAGTAACAGGTGCTTGTTACTTTTCGCTCCAAAATTCGTCAGCTCTGTTGGGTAGATCCTGGGTAGCTTTGTGGTTAGAACAGTCGCCTAGATTGTGGAACGTCATGGGTTGGAGTCCCATCTCAGATTGCTAGTGGATTTTTAAGTATTGTTCATTAAGAATGTGTTTAAGGATTTTTTCACGGTTTCGGATGTTAATGGGTATGAAGAATATTTGTCAGTCAGGTAACAGTTTACATTGACGATACAAAAGTTTATACTTCCATACTTTGTTTTTCTCCTCGTCATCCACCACAAAGAAATTCTCCAATAAGTACAATACTTTTGAATTCACAGCCATGCCTTATAGTTTATAAGATGAACGTATGTGTCTTTGATTTTATATTTTTATATGATTTTTCATAAATTTTTACAAAATTAATCCACAACATAAACAAATTTTAATCATAATTGACAGAACATAAGTAAGAAAAATCTGCACTGTTAGTAAATTTTGTTACGATATCAAATAGTTTTTACTTTCTAAATTGATAATATCTTTTTGATCGAAATGATTTAAGTAAAACTCACACGTAAGCGAACTAAAAATTATATTCATTTATCTCAGGATTTATATTGCAAAACAGTGAAAAAACATATTGCAAACAAACAACATAATTAGCCTGCGAATAAAATGGAAGCCATAAAAAGAAAGAGGAGACAATTCCAAGGAAATTCACTTGAAAAGCTGATGCCCTTGAAAAAAGCTTTTGTTGAGCATGGACATGGAGTTAAAGTTCTGTGGGCTTTTTAAACGCGCTGTGGAACTGTTTGGTTGTGAGAATACATTAAGAAACCTTAAGAGCCAAATATATGATTTCAAAGAAAAAAAAATACAAAGAGGTCCAGTGTATTTTCTTATAAACAAACGCAGTTTTGTTGACGGTATATTTCACACATTGGATCGGTAACAAAGCAGCCTACTACAAAGAAAACATATTTGCACTTAGAATGTATCGTGTATTTACAATTTATTATAATCTTTTTTGTTTCCTATTGCTCACGCGGGCAAAGTCGTTTCATGTTTATTTTAATAGCAGTGAACAAACAGAACAGGTAAGTATATCGACAAAAGGCATTACCTAATCGCTGGGTACAGAATTTATTTCATCAGTAGCAACGTCTCTTATAGATATTTTTCTCTTCATTATCTCCTATGTTAGTTTATGCTAATATTATAAAGAGGAAAGATTTCATTGTTTGTTTGCAACGAATAGGCTCCGAAACTAATGGACCGATTTAAAGTCTTTCACCTACGGTAAACTACATAATATGCGATGAACATAGGCTATATTTTATACCGAAAAAAGTTGATAAAAGGTTGAAAATGGGAGTGGAACTCTGTATAGGGAATTAAAACGTTAGTAACCATTGTTATTATTCAATTTGTTATCGTAATTATATCTGTTTTATGAATATAGTTACCTAGAAACTACGTGGGATAAGCTGCATGCGGAAAGCTAGAAAGTTATAATAAAAGAGAAAGAACATAATTAGGTTTTCTAGTAAAGAACATAATATTAAAATTTGTGCACTTATTACAATTATTACACACAAAACAGAATCTCCAATTTTTAAACTTTAAAAGATAACTACTCACTTGAAGTCGCTGATTTGTTGATTTTTCATTCCTTTCACCTTGATGTTCTTAAAGTGCATCACGATGTCGGAATCTGGATCAGCGTATTCCACGTGTTTTAGTTCCACAGGTTCTAGTTGCTTTATGCCGTATTCTGGCATTCCGGCACTAGTTTTGCTAAAAAATGACTCCATCGCCTTATTTAGACATTCTATATCATCATGATTACACGGATCTAGTAGAGCTGTAAGAAAGTAGATGATTTCAAAATGGCGGTTAGCTGTTGCGCATTGAATTTATATTTCAAATAGTTTTTGTTTTGTGAACAAATTTTTATTATAAATAAATAAGTTCTACTAACACATAAGTATATAATAGTATATACTAGATAGAGGACGGTTACGAAAAGCAATTGAATAAATAGTTATTCAATTGCTTTTCGTAACCGTCCTCTTTTTAAAGGGAAAATTGATATATGAGTGAATATGTGGGCGTCAGGTTGCTTACGATGTTTACAATTAACAAGTTAAAGTTGTGTTAACAAGTTTTTATATTCTATTTCCATCGGTACACCATCATCTGTTCCTGTCTCATTGACACTGTGTCTGTTAATTTTGTCTCGTTTATTTACTTAAACTTGAATTTTGAATTGAATAACCTAAGGTTGGATTGCACCATAATTGTAGTAAAATTTAGAGTTAATGTCAAATTTCAGAACATCCTTAATGCATTCGGCATGCAGCAAAGAGTAATTCTTACTTGAAATGTATTTTTATTCTTATTTTATTTACATCCATTCCAACATAAAAAAAAACAAAAGACGTTATAATATTATAGTTATCCGGCTAAAAAGTTTCCCACAACAAAAATGACAGCCTAAGACATAACAAGACTTACACAACACAACCAATTATGTCATCAAAGACATTCAATTATAAATCTCTATAGATGTTATACAAATATGCACAGATACAGATAAAATTTGAATCGATATTGAATTCTAATATTATAATGTTATTTCCCATCCAACCAAGAAGCAGAAATTACTTTGGACTTGACTGTTTCCAAAAAATTAACTCTGCCACCTATGAAAGAATCGTTTCTAAAATCCAAGTCTTTCTTGGCATAGTAAAACAATAACTTTAACCGGCGAAACTTAGGCGGTTATATTTATGAAGCCATATAACAATTGTCAAATAATAACTAATTATTATTTGTTTAACCGGTAATTTAACATGTTTGTTATTTTTAGAGTAAGTTGGTTCAAATAACCCTAATTATTAAAATAGTAATACACTACTATGTAGGCTTATAATAATACTATAATGATGGCTGCTACATTCAGTCGACGGTCTGCCCTCGCGGATCAGGGTTTCAATTTTGGTTATGTTAATATAATAATAGCATATCAACAATTATTTGCATGTTGCAATTGTACCGTCTACCTGAAGTCAAATATTATTAATCTATTGTCGTCTCCACAAATTATTGGTTACATATATGTTTCTTTTTTTGTAATCTAATAACATGAACTGTGTCAAAAAGCTTTGTAATTGAAGCGCTGTTAACTTTCGAAAAACAACTAAAAATCAATATCAGAGGTTATTGGATTTCCTTGACAATAAAACATGCTCCAGTACTGGTATATTTATCTGGTTATTGAATTGTGTTGCTTACTCAGTTGATTGTGAATGACGAGAAAATAACCAGTGCTTGCGACATTTGATATACTGTGTACAATTTGTTAGGTACCTTTCTCTAGCTTATGCATTTTTAACAAGTAGTAGGGCAAAGATATTTACGAATCTCATGCTACAAATATTTGATATACGAGAGCGATTGATCTTGATATTTTTTTGAATAATTGAAGATATCTTCAATTTAACGTTAATTGAAATTGTGAAAGGTGCTTACCTTTCACAATTTCAGTTAGTTAGATGTAAATAATACTCTAAGTTTAAGTCTATTATTTCTCTTGATAATTCAAATAACGTTACTTAATTTTAAAAAATCGCTATCACCATAGCTATACTTTCAGAGATTGCGATAGATTTTAAAATTAGACAATTAGAACAGCTTTCTATTATCTCAAAAGATAAGACATGATAAAAATAGCTTAAAACTATTAACCAATTTACTTAAGAAATATTAAATGGTTAGCCTATAACTACTTATAATTAAAACATTTGTGTAAAATGTAAATATATAGTATTATGTTATCTATCATGTAATTTCATAAACCTTCATAGGAATTATAACTGTATGATACACCATACCCTCGGTCAAACTGATACCGTTTTGTGAGTGAGACTTTTGTATAGAAAAAAAAATATGAATATATGTATATTAATAGAAATTTAGAACTCTCATAATCTATTGAAAGTTTAATAATGAAATCATGGTGTACCACCACTAATACTTGACGTAAGCACAAAAGAAAAACAAGAACGCCAATGAGATAGATAGTAATGATGGAACGCCAATGACAGTGTTTTTCTAAATCATTTTTTTTTGCTTTATTTAATATTGAATAAACAATAAATATTAAATGTAATAATAAATTAAAAAAAAAAAACAATATATATTAAATAATTATCAGATTTGTTACAAAAAAATCACAAAGGTTATACTAGGAATAAGTCATATTAATTATTCGCAAACTTTTATTATTATTATTGTAAAAGCACTCCGTATAGCTCTAGGCTAAAATTTGACTCGCAAATACATTTTCCCATTAATAAAGTGTAGGATTACGAGGTGAAATTAACATTTATTTAAGAATGTTATACTGACTTAAATAATGTGAAAAATAGTAAATTATCTAAGTATTTTAAAGACGTGCGAGTTGTTAATATTAACCGATTTCAATATATTAGACGATATTTTTATGTCGTCTAACGATTGATTTAATATCTAATGAAATGTCTTATGATTTGTTATTTTGAAGAATATATTCAGTTAATTTTGATATAAAAATAAACTGAAGATTTGATTAGTAAAAATTTACGATTTACCACATATACATAACAACAAAGTAAAAAAACGCTTAAATAAAGGATAATCTCAAACAAAAAAACAACTCAAACCTTCATTAGAGAAAACACATTTGATGCAAAGAAAAATCACTAGTAATTTTACAAGCACACCCATGTTTGATGAATCCTAAACGACAAAAGCACTTTTGATTTACAGTCTAATCAGATTTATATGACTTATAAATACTTCATATCTCTGTAAACACTTTAATTAAATATTCTGATAAAAGGAATATGTAAATGGACAAATGGTAGCATAGGTCATAAATTATCTGAGTACATTTATATTAATTATCTTTATAGATTGGCTCTTTGTTATGTCATTTGCTAGATTTTCCTTGCCCTAGGTTCGTAAAAACTTTAAATCAAAACGTATTTTTGAACTTCAATTTGCAGTAACTAATATAACATTTTTTTTATTATAAAAACTTGTCTTGCAAAAATACTACATATTTAATTTATTAATATCTTACACAGTGTTCGAATTCAATAGAATCTTAACTATATCAAACGTCTACGTCAGTGTGAACCTATGGCGTAATTATGTTATATTACAAAGATTAACTTGTGAAAAGTTGCGTTTTTTCGCATAGCCGTTTTCCCATGTGAAACGAAAACAATGGGCCTTCAAAGCGTTCTAATCGAAGTTTTAAAAATTTAAAGAAAAAAACAACTTCAAACTTTAAAAGAGTGATAAATAATTGTTATGGGTATTTCGTGTAGTTCGTGCAAATTCCCTGACATTAACATAATCCAAATTAATTGTCGAATACTTTAATAATATTATTTTTATGATGGAAAAAGAACGGTGTTTTTAGTAAATTATGAACGTTTTTGTTAATTGTTAATTAACAATAGTGTTCATAATTAATCATTTAAAACACCGTTTTATTTGTCGGGAATTTTCCCGACATAATCATATATTTAACATATATTTGATGAAAATAACATATATTTCCGACAAAAAAAATCCTAAGATTAATTTGCAAAACTAATCAATCAGTTAGGAGCATTTCTTGTAAGTTTTTCATTAAAAAATCATGCTAGTCCTATGAATCTATTTTTAATTAAGTAGTTGTTTTTTAATAAGTCTTTAATTTTGAATTGAATGCTTATTTCCAATTGCTACTCAAGACTTTTTGGTTGTTTGTTTCTTTAAAATTGATTTTTATTAATTTTATCAATGGATAACAAGATAAAAACTGTTTTTTTTGCAGAATTAGCCTTTGCTTAAAACAAAATCTTAAGATTATTATTTAAGTGTATTTTCAGTTTGTTTTTACAGCTTGCTTCCAAATCCTCACCAAGAAGTTCATTAAGTTTTGCTTTTCAAAGTTTATTACATTTTTTAATACCTAATAAGTTAGAATTTATGTTCAAAACTGATTAAAAGAGAAAGAAAATATGTTTTTATTTAGACCATGTTTTTCTATTCTGATTATTTTGTTTTTTCGGTGATTTTTTTTTTATAAAAAGGAGGGCAAATGACTGCGCTCCACCTGATGGTAAGCGGAGGCGTAGTCTAAACGCGAGGACAGCTAGTGAAAACAGTACGTATGTACTGCACTAGCCAACCTCACCTTGCCGACCTGCAAGGTGCTTCTTCACGCCCCGCTTGAAGGACCCCATGTCATAGGAAGGAGGGAATACATGGGCCGGGAGACAATTCCATTTTTGGAAGTACGACAAAGAAATGAGTCGCCAAATTTCTTTGTACGCGAAGGAATCGTTGCCACAGTTAGTTGGTGGCAACGCAAACCAGCACGTGTGGTCCTGAGGAGGAAGGGAGATGGGGGAATAAGGGAAAAGAGTTCTTCAGAGCATTCACCATGGTAGAGACGGTAGAAGACGCTGAGCGATGCAACGTCTTGGCGCAGTTGCAGGCTTTCTAGGTTCTTGGTGACTTCACCATTGCCAATAATGCGTACTGCGCGGCACTGCAATCTATCCAAAGCATCGAGTAAGTACCTAGCGGAGCTATCCCAAAGGTGCGAGCAATACTCCACGCATGACCGGACCTGCGTTTTGTATAGCAGGCACAGTTGTTCGGGCGTGAAAAAACGCCGAACCTTGTTCAGGACACCGAGTTTACGCGATGCTGTTTTAATAACAGACTCGATGTGGTTTTTGGGATTCAGATCACAGCGCACTTTCATCCCGAGCATGTTGATGCTGCTCTGTAGAGGCAAGGTTGTGCCCTAAAGAGAGGGAAGGGAAGGGAATGGAGGGGTCTTGGCGGTAAATACGCAAACCTGAGTTTTCTTGGCATTGAACTCAACCAGATTTTCAGCACCCCATTTCGATATGAGATCCAGAACGTGATTGAGCTCAATGACAAGATTTTCTCTTTTCTCCAGGATTTCCGCCCGTCCGACCGTAGGAGCCCCGTGATATCCCATCCCTGTGCTATCGTCTGCATAGCAATGGATATTTCCAAGTAGAAGCATGTCATTGATTTAGTAATTTTCTGTGCTGCTGTATTTTTAAATAAATGTTTATACTTTTGTCTTCTTGATATTTGATTTATAATTACCATTTCTCATTACCTTCAACATTGTCTAATTACCATTTACTGTAAATATCATTACCATTCACTCAAAAATTTAAATGTCTGTCAGTTAAAAATTAAAAGACTTGCATTATTCCCTTGTATAATTTCTTTAAGGGTATGTTTACAGCAATGTATAATGCGCTTAAAGAATGCATTTTGTCACAACTTTTATACAATCTCCTAACGTGAGGCAAATGCGCATTTTCAAAGAATTGCCCATAATTATTTAAATGATGACAATAAAATGGTAATGAGAACGTCAATGATGGTAATGATTTTGCGAGGGAAATAGGAGTATGAAGGTAATGAATATAAATAGAAGGGAATGAGAAAAATTCTGTTATCTTTTAATTCAGTCCATAATGAATAATCCAGCGTATTGAAGTCGGGGCTGGAGAAAGGCCACTCTTCCGCCGCAATGAAGGCTGGCACATTCTCCCTCAACCAAGCTTGGGTGCTTTTTGCCTTATGGGATGGCGCCAAATCTTGCTAAAAAACCCAATCTTTATTGTGAAATAAGGTACCAGACAGGAGTCCAAGCACGGGCTCTAAAATGTCACTCTGATAATTCTTGGCTTTCACCTTGACACCTTATCGGCAGAAATGGAGCGGAGTGACAACTTCATACAAAACTCCCCACCATACCATCACACTAGCCGGATAATGAGTGCGCGAGACATTTCATGCAAAAGCTGGGACATCGTTGCTACTTTTGGTGTACACTTTATTTTCTTGTCGGTTGAACTTTTCTTCAACAATAAATATTTTCTCGTTGATGAAGAGTATCTTCCTGGCATCATGTCTCCTCAGCAGCAATGGACAACGTTCGCGTCGTAACTTATAAAAACGATCGTTTAAAGAGTGAACTTTTCTACGGCTATAGGCTTTTACCTTAAGATCATATTTCAGTATTCTGATCAATGAAACAGTTTCTTCTAAGTGCGACATGGATTTCGGCAAAGTCGCTCTCTGATGATTTTGATGTTCGCAGACATCCCCACAGAGTGTGGCCGACCACTCCTTTGACGATCCTGGAGAGAACTTGTCGCTTTGTACCGCTTTATTGTGATGTTGGAGTTACGGCTTACAGGAAAACTTTTCAGCTCGCGGAAAATTTGCATCGGTTTTTTTCCCTCTTAAAATAGCAAAATAACAGTTGCACATAAATTAATTTGCGATATAAATAAACTAGAAGTTAACATTCCAAATTCAAAATCGGTCAAAAAAAATAACAGCCATTCGGCTTGGGGGTTAACACAACTGTTAAAATATTAGTGCAGTGCTTCATGTAGCCCCCGAGACAGTTTTCTAATTTGATTTTTGTTTCTTGGGAAAACAAGATATTTCTTTTTTGTTACAAATTTTGTTTTTTCAGTTTCTTTTATGTAATATTTCTCAAAATAAGTACACCACTGCTGATATTTAACCTTTTTATCATTCCCGAATTCAGCGTAATTTAAATTTTTAAATTTACATATCGTAGATGATAGATGACAAGTATCTTTTTGCATTCTTATTTGTAGTCACTGAGTCATCGTCAAAAAATTTTATTTTCTTTTCTATCTCTTACCGCGAATATTTTCGTCCTTGTTAAGAGCTTATGTTTCTTTTTAATTTTATTTTTCGCACTTGACGATATTTAACGCTTCTTTCTTGTCTTTTTCAAGGACTTATATCCTTCCCCGATACTTCTTGACAGAATTTCACCAAATACTTATTTCTTTTTAAGTTCCTCACGTTTTTCTGTGTTCTCAATTTCTATCAAATGTTCTATTTTTTCTTCAGTAGATATATTTTCACTTTGTCTTATCCTTTATTATCCTGGAAAACGTTTTTCTAAGGGTATCTTTTTGTTTCTTTGTTTTTTCTAGTTCTAGTTTCAAATTCTATTTTTTTTATGTTGGTAGCAAAACTTTTTAGAAAGAAGATTTTTTTTGATGTTGTTATCAAGAACCAAGATCCTTACTATCATGGAATGGTCTAGAAATATTTAGAGCAGGTCTATCGAAAGGATCTTAATCAGAAGCTGGAAGTACATCAGTGTCACTATTTGGTGGGGAATTTTCAAGTAATAGTTGTTGTATAGCTTTAAATTCCTTTTTCTTTTACAATTATGTTTCAAATTAACTCACCATTTTTTTCTCTGAGCTCTTAATTATCTCGTTGTTATATCTTGCACGTCTTTAATTTTTTATGGACTTTATATCTAGCTGTTTCATCTTCTTCTAGTTCTACATAAATCTCAGGATCTTCCTTAATTTCTGCATATTTCTTTTGCTTTTTTTAGTCAATCACGCTTTCGTTTCTGCTTTTTATTGTTTGTTTGGTTTTCTTCGGAATTTTTTATTCTTGGTCTTCTGTGAAAATAAATAGAACTTTCATTCATATTTTAAACGGTTAAATTTAAACTCTATTAAATTTAGTTATTTTAATAATGAAAACACAAAATGTAAATAATATACACGGATTAAGAAATTTGTTGTTCGAAATGAATTCTAATTACCTTTGTATTGACCTCATTACCGTGGCTCTAAAAACGATGGTAAATAAGGCAATGAGGAAGATGGCAATGAGTTTTGAATACTTAAT